GTGGTTTTTGGCCGGGGCTGGGTTTGAACCCACCATCTCTGGCATATGGGGCCAGTGCCCTACTCCTTTGATCCACAGGCACCGCTCTGACCTTATTTTCTTTTGCTCACTATAGCACATTAACCTACTCCCTCCTTCTGTAGATTGGCTAAGGGTATTAATAACCCATTAAAGCTGCAGCTCCCAACTTTGTGTACTAAGGCATTCCAAGACTCCATGGCAAATTCACAAGGATGCTGAAACTGCCCTTACAGACTGATGAAGGAGTACAAGGCAAGAACTAGTGTAAGGGCCCCAGAACGGTGAAGGAACCAGACCTAGTTAAAATAATAATAATCAAACTCTGTGAAGAAACAGGCTTAGCTAAAATACAGGTAATAATCAGCCACTGTGTTTGCTTAATAATGGTCACAGTCCCCTTGTTTATTTCTCTATACTTGCTACTCTAGAGGGCACAGCTGGTAGTTATAAAGATTTTTAACTCTTCTACACAAATAACATCACCTTTCGGAGCCTAGAGTTAGTTTCTGAGATTTCTTTCAGGTCCTGCATTTCAGTGGATTGACTGACCCGATTAGGCCAAGGACCTGACTCAACTGGTCTGGAACTCTTCATCCAAGGCCTTACATTCCAATAACTAATAATTTTGCCCTAAAACCAGCCAATTAGCAAACCCTGGCTGACTAATCCTATGCTCACCAGTCTTTAAAAACCATATCTCCTCAATTCTCAGAGAGATGGATTTGTGAAATTTCTCCCATCTCTCTACTTAGCACTATGCAGAATAATACTCTGCTATAAACCAGAGCTATCCACTATCTTTGGATATTGGCTTTCTCTTTGGCAGCCAGCAGATGAACCTGGCTGGGCAGCAACAATACCAGGGGCTCTTAAATTGAGGGAAATAACAGTGATATGTGACATCTGCCAGACACAGCATGAACTTAACATAGTTCACAGTTTCAACGTTAGATGCACTATATAACTTTTGATGACATATTTTTTTGAAGCTGGTGTGAATGTTGGTTGTATGATAAAAACAAGTACTCTGAAAGTAATGTGGAACAGAGAGTGAAGGTGAAGTGTTCAATCTGTTTCCCCTGTTAGAGAAGTTGTAGGGTACCCAACAAGAACATGCATTCCATTAATATTTTAATTAAAAGAGCATGAAATAAAAGTATTTTCTTTCAATTTATGAATATTACTTTTCTGAACAGTTAGTAAATTATTAGGATGTTAAATATTTAGCAAGTTGTTTGAACTTAATAAACTTAATGGTGAGGTATTTCTTTTAGCTTAGGAGTATGAAAATACTGGAACTCAAAGAGCACAGTGAACAGAGCAAGTTTGGAAAACTTTGCATTACAATGTTTGCTGACTCTGGGTCCCAGAAACAAAATGCAGAAAACCTTATAAAATGCAAGCATTACACCATACTCTTCAAACACTCTACCTTCTTTTCTCCATTTGGTCAGTTCCTAAGTGTTTCTCTAGGCTTAAACATTATCTACTCTGAGAAGACTTTAATTTCCACTGGTTCTACTTTGCCTCTGTTTGATAGTACTTAGTACATAGCTCTATTATAATTATTTGCATATCTTATCCTCAGGTAACCTGTGTGTCTCCTTATAGCATGAGCCATCATTTTATCCCTCAATAGCACACATAGTAGTTAGCAGGCATTAAATGCTTAATAAGTGTTTGTTGAATGAATAAAAACAAAACATCCAAACTTCTTGTCTCTTTCTTTGCTGTTAATGACTTAAAGCAATATTGATTAGTGTATATTACATCTGAATTAACATATCTGGAAAAAGAGCAACCTTTTCTCCAGGAAAAAGATAAGTCTTTTTCACAAGTCAAAAATACTTCTCCCATACATTCCCCTAGCTATGCCCCTGCTACTTTTCAATAAAAGTAAATACATTCCTAACTATTCTTTCATATGGCAATGGTTTAGATGGTCATTAAAATAACTTATTTTTATTTAAATAAAATATTAGCCAATTTTTGGACCAACCTTATGAAATAAACACAAATAGATATTATCTTCATTTAAAAATATTAAAGAGATTAAATGATAGAATCAAGGTCATGCTCAAGAGACTCTGGGTGACTTAAAAAAGAACCAAGGTCATGCAATAAATCATAAATTTAAAATTAAAATCAAATTAAACACAAGAGTATCTTTTAGTTTCACAAAGTAATCATAGTGATGCCCACAGCTCAGTGAGTAGGGTGCTGGCCACATACACTGAGGCTAGCAGGTTTGACCCCAGCCTTGGCCTGCTGAAACAACAACAAAATAGCCGGGTGTTGTGGTGAGCACCTGTAGTCCCAGCTACTTGGGAGGCTGAGGCAAGAGAATAGCTCAAGCCCAAGAGTTTGAGGTTGCTATAAGCTGTGATGCCACAGCAGTCTATTCAGGGCCACAGCTTGAGACTCTGTCTTAAAAAAAAAAAAAAAAAGAAAGAAAGAAAGAAAGAAAGAAAGAAGAAAGAAAGAAAGAAAGAAGATATGTAACCATTATTTTTTTAATGAGATGGAATGAGAATAGAATAATTTTTATACTAAAACAGATTTACTGTGATTCTGATAGAAAATTCTTAAAAGGAATTTTATGATGAATTATATGTTTTCTAAGTTAACTTAAAAAAGTAATTAATGAAGTTTATACTTTGGAAAAAAGAGGGTGTTATTTTTCATAAAGGGTAGCAGCCTGTTGGGCAGTCATTCCAACAGGTTGGGGAAGCAGAGCCCCAGGTACGGGCCAGGCTGGTGCATCAAAGAAGAGACAGAAGGGAACAATATGTCCCATTGAGCAGGAAGGGACATATTCAAAAAGCTATGAGAAGACTCATGAATATTTATGAAGGGAAATATACACATGTAATTGTACTTTAACTCTCCTGACATGTCTGAGAATTCAGTTTTAAGGTATTTGTGGGGTCCTCTTGGCCAAGAGGGGTCCATTCAGTTAGCAGAGGGCTTAGAACTTTATTTTTAGTTCATATAAGAAAAAACTTGTTCCAAATTTTCAGAGACAATGAGTGGCTTTTAATCTTTTCAGGGATGATAAGTGGCTACTTTGCCTCTTCTAACTGATATTAAAAAAATGAAAAAGGATACTTATTTGTCCCTTCAAAATATAAGTGAAGTAAACAATGAGTAAAAGAAACACTATAGAGAGATCATTTTGAAAATGGACAGTTGGAAATATTTCTATCTGAGTTTGTTGTTGGAAATAATACAGAGCTCATCTTTTAAAAGTCTCAAATGTATATGTTCAAAAATCTAGAAGTAAATTTCTAATCCGTTTTAAAATCCTACAAGGAAAGTATTTCAAAAGCCTGAACACACTGTTAAAATACTTGTACAGAAATGCTCTACTGTCTAATGTTTTCAAGAACAACTGATTGACATTATGATAGGAAATTTTACTAGTCAATTAAAAAACTTGGCATAATTGACTGATGGAATAGAAGAATGAGTATTATTACTCAACAAATACAGTCAATAATGCACTTCTTCAATTTGGATTTATATTTCTTTGTGACATGAATTTTAATGATGGTAATGTCATTAAAAGCAAGTATTAAAATAAGCAGAACTTAGAAGCAGACCTTCCAATAGCTTTGCCACTAAGTATTAACCTGTGTTACAAAAAATTATGAAGCTCATTCAATCATATCTGTTTTTTGAACCAATACTAAAAATTATTTTAAAATACTATTTACTTTTTGACTTTTGTATACATTTTATAATATATAAAGTATATCAATCGACTGGTTCTTGAATATAAATTATAAATAGTAAGTTAAAAATTACTATTATTTACTCAAAGATTTTTTTGGGATAATGGTACAAAGATAAAAAATGTGTAAAGACCATTGTTTTAGACAGCTACGAGTAGAGAATAAGTTAAGGGGAAAAAGAAAAACAACAACAACAATAACTAGAGTAAGAAAATGGATCAGAAAGGAAAACAAATGTTCCAAGATATATTTTAAAAAAGAAAAAAAAAAAGAAAGAAAAATAAATGGTAGGTGAAAAAAAGACAAACTTTTCCATTTTTATTTTATTTTATTTTATTTTTTTGAGACGGAGCCTCAAGCTATTCCCCTGGGTAGAGTGCCATGGCATCACGCTCACAGCAACCTCCAACTCCTGGGCTCAAGCGAGTCTCTTGCCTCAGCCTCCCAAGTAGCTGGGACTACAGGCGGCCGCCATAACGCCTGGTTATTTTTTGGTTGCAGCCATCATTGTTGTTTGGCAGGCCCGGGTTGGGGATTCAAACCCGCCACCTTAGGTGTATGTGGCTGGCACCTGAGTTCATAACTTTGCAAGCTTTTTTACACAGATAAATTACATCATAATAATTTAGTATTAAAATAGAGGTATGGCTTGGCAGCCCATGCTCAGTGGTTAGGGCGCTGGCCACATGTACCCAGGTGGTGGGTTCAAACTTGGCCCAGGCCTGCTAAACAACAGTGACAACAACAACAAAAAATAGCTGGTGTTGTGGCAGGCACCTGTAGTCTCAGGTACTTAAGAGGCTGAGGCAAGAGAATCGCTTATGCCCAAGAGTTTGAAGTTGCTGCGAGCTGACAACACAGCACTCTACTGAGGGGGACATAGTGAAACTCTGTCTCAAAAAAATAAATAAATAAAATAAAGAGGTATATAAAAGCACTTTCTAAATAACCCTATATCATAAAAATTGAATTCTAGAATACAAAAAATTAAGTATATGATTCTATAGAGATAAATCCCTGAAGGTATTTTGCCAAAGAAGTGGTTTAGGTAGCACCATGAGATATCAACAATGTTCAAATATTCTTCCTAACTTCATTCAACAAATATTTACTGAGTCCCACTATGTGACAGGCACACTGCTATCCTTTTTCTTCTTCATATTGGTTGTCATAAGAATTTTTCCCAAGCTTGGTATGAATCCAGAGGATTCATATTCCCAGCCTTAACATAATTACTCCTCAACTCTTGGTAACTGTATGGTATAATATTTTAATAGAACTATAATATGTTTCATCAGTAGTATTCCCATATAGCATGATGTCCCCTGCCTTTCAAATTTCTAATTTAAGCAACATTAAAATGAATTCACTTCATGTTATCAATTTTGTAAGATCAAATATTTACACATTAAGTTTACTTATAATAAGAGATTCTTGTGTAAATTTAGATTACAAATAACACTAGGAAGTGGGAATGAATGTAGTAAACTAAGACACCCTTGAGAAATTATTATTTCATGTTGTGCTGGTTAAGAAGTCTACAGGTTTAGCTCTTCAGAATTAGGGAATAATTGTTATGGAATAATTCCATTTGTTCTAGTAATTACAGACCAATAGTATTGTGGCATCTTATCATTCCTGGTAGTAACATGTTTCTGCCATCCCTTCAGCCAGAAACGGACTGGCTGATATAAATCCTTAAAATGGTCACATCGCAGATTAATTCCATTGAGGAAAAATAATCAGCATACTGGTGGTGCCCGTAGCTCAGTGGGTAGGCTGCCGGCCATATACACTGAGGCTGGCAGGTTCAAACCTAGCCTGGGCCTCCTAAACAACAATGACAGCTGCAACAAAAAAAAAGCTGGATGTTGTAGCAGGTGCCTGTAATCTCAGCTACTTGGGAGGCTGAGGCAAGAGAATCACTTAAGTCCAAGAGTTTGAGGTTGCTGTGAGCTGTGACGCCATGGCACTCTACTGAGGGTGACACAGTAAGATGGTCTCCAAAAAAAAAAAAAAAAATCAGCAAACTGAGCTTCAGTAAAGAGCAGAAATAATAATTAGAACTCAAAAACTAACTACTCATCTCAAATATACCATTCCAGAGGCAGGGACTTTCTGAACTTAAAAATGCACTAAAAATCACTTGAGAAATTGTTATATGAGCTTCCATTTTGCCCTCCCTACCTCCTTCCTCATTGGACAGGGGAGGGCCTGGTTTTTCCTTGAAGAAAACCCCTAGACAAAGCAAAATACAACTTCACAAATCATTATGTACATACCTGGCGCTGAAGTTCAACGTTACCGTTGTTGATTTCATTGCTTATTTTCAAAAGCCAGTTTTGTATCATGTTAAATATATTTTCTTGGAGTACCCTGAAGGAAAAAAAGGTAAAATAAAAATACGTAATTTGCTTAAAGTATAAAAGTAACTATCAGTTAAGAGAAATAATTTCATGTGGCTCGGCATAGTAAACTTAGGTGTGACGATTATTTGAGAATTCAGGAAAAGATGAGTCAAAGCCTTGAATTACCTAGTATAAGGCCTTTCCTAACCCCCAGGTAGATAGCAACTGGTATGATGCACCTTGGGCAAAGCAGACCTTGCCTTCAATATTAGCTCTCTACTGCAAAAACTTACCAGCCTTTATATTCACTTCTGGGCCAGTAGGGTCTTCTAACATAATGAGAAGAGTGAAATTTTAAAATTCTCTCAATGATTGACTTCCAGCATATCCACATGAGCAGCCTGAGAGGCAAGGCTGGCTTACTACTCCCCAGTGAAGATGATGAAAAAAAATTATTTTAAGAAACCATTTAAAGCTTCTGGAAACAGTGCTAAAGATAAACAAAAACTGCAGACACATCTATTCAAGAAAACCTATGAAGATTCAGTAAGGCAAGAATCTATGGTATTTGAACCAAGCCCTCCCCTTCTCTTCCTCAGCTTACTGAGGCAGAAACTGCACTTTCAAATGGTGCAGGCAAGAAGAACAAAGGGCTCCCTCTCCCTCCAGGACATCAGGATTTCTTATTCTGTCCCCAACTATCTGCTACTGAATCTAGGTACTGGGCAAATGCAGTTGAGAAGTGGGGGCTCCCTTCCTCCACCCAATCCATGCTCATAGATGTCCATTCTCACACCCTCCATTCAACATCATATTGAGGTTATATCAGGGCAATTAGGCAAGAGAACAAAATCAAAGGCATCCATGTTTTTAATCCTACTCACAGGTAACATGATCTTATATATAGAAAATACTAAGGAATCCTTTAAAGTAATATTACAACTAATGAGTTCAAAAGGTTGCAGGATATATGATCAAGACACAAAATTCAACTGCATTCCAATATATGTCACAATGAACAATGTGAAATATTTTTAAAAGAATCCCATTTGTAATAATATCAAAAAATAAGGAATAAATTTAACAAAAGAAATATAAAACCTATACTCAGAAGACTCTAAAACAATATGGAAAGAAATTTTAAAAGATCCAAATAATTAGAAAAATACTCCATATTTAGATATGAGAAACTTAACATTTTCAAGATGGCAATAATCCATTCTGATGTACAGATCCAACAAAATTTTTTCAGAATACCAGTTGACATCTTTGTAAAAATAAGCTTATTCTAAAATTTATATGTAATGCCAAAGTACCCAGCAGGCCAAAATAATCCTGAAAAAGAAGAATCAAGTAGGAATCATTTTCCAATTTAAAAACCTACCAACAAAGCAAGTTATCAAGACAATGTACTAGTAAATATGGTACTAGCACAAGGTTGGCCATGTAGACCAATGTGATAGAATTGATAGTTCAGAAATAAGTCTATGCGTATGGCCATCTGATTTTCATCAAAGGTGCCAATACCATTAAATGGAGAAAGAATAGCCTTTTCAACAAATGGTGCTGGTACAACTAGATATTCACATGTAAAAGAATGAAGTTAGGCCTTTACCTCATACCATGTACAAAAGTCAACTAAAAATGGATCAGAGACTTTAATGTCAGTGCAAATTCTATAAAACTCAGGAAGAAAACAGAAGTAAATCTTTATGACCTTGGATTTGGCAAAGGATCCTTAGATATGACACCAAAGGCACAAGCAACAACAACAAAATAGTTGAACTTCATAAAAATTAATAACTTATGATCATTTAGACAACACTCTCAAGAAAGTGAAAATACAACCTATAGAATGGGAGAAAATATTTGCAATTTATATATCTGAAAAGGGATTTGTACTGTATATCCAGAATATATAAGGAATTCACTTAACTGAGTAACACTGAAAATACAAATGACCCAGCTAAAGTAAGGGCAAAGGAAATAAATAGACATTTCCCCTAAAGATAATAAACAAATAGCCAAGAAACACATGAAACAAGGCTAACTGTTAATCAGTCACTAGGGAAATGTACATCAAAACCACAGTGAAATACCTATTCACACCACCAGTACAGTTAGAAAGAAAATGTCAGATAATAGGCCAGGCACAATAGCTTGTGCCTATAATCCCAGCTCTTTGAGAGGCCAAGAAAGGAGGACCTCTTGGGGCCAAGAGTTCAAGACCAGCCTGGGCAACATAGCCAGACTCCAACTCTACAAAAAGTAAAAAAGAAATTAGCCCGCCATGGTGGTGCATGCCTTTAATCCTAGCTACTAGGAAGGTTGAGGTGGGAGGATCACTTAAGCCCGGGAGTTCAAGGCTGCAGTGGGCTATGATGGCATTGCACTCCTTCCTGGAAAACAGAACAGGTCCCTATCTCAAAATAAAACAAAACAAAAAGTCAGATTATAAGTAGTAGAGAATAAGTGGAAAAGTCAGAATCCTCATACACTGCTGGTATGAATATAAAATGGTATAGGTTTTCCAAAAGCACTTTGGGAAACAATCTGGCAATTCCTCAAATTGTTAAAGATAGAATTGCCTTATGATACAGCAATTCCACTCCTGGGTATATACCCAAGAAAAAACGAAAACTTATGTCCATCCACAAAAAGCTTGTTCATGAATATTTATAGCAAGATTATTCATCAACGCCAAGAGATGGAAATAATCCTAAAATCCAGCTATGGACAAATGGATAAATATGTGGTATATCTATACATAGAATACTATTCAGTCATAAAAATGAACTAAACACTGAAACATGCTGTACAACGTGGATGAACCCTAAAAACATTATGCTAAGTGAAAGAAGATAGTCACAAAAGATCAGGTAGTATGTGATTCCTTTCAAATAAAACGTCCAGAACAGGGAAATCAACAGAGATAGAAAGATTTGAGGACTGGGAGTAGGGTGGTAGAAGAGGATGAAGGGTAACAGAATGATAGCTAACGAATATAAAGCTTCTTTCCAAAATGATGAAATATTCTAAAATCGACTGGTAATGGTTGCTCATACCTATAAATATAATGAAAGCCCTTGAACCGTATACTTTAAGAGGGTGAATTGTATGATATGTGAATTATGTCACAATAAAGCTTTTTAAAATGTCTCACAAAAGAAAAAAAGAAATTATGGAAACTTACAAGCCAGAATCCATGTCTACATATTCTGGCACAATGCCAATAAGATTTAATAAGGAGTCCAACTGTGATTTCATTTCCTTCATTTTTTCATTAACTCCTCCCCATTCTTCAAGAGCTGTATGAGGATTCTCCAGGAGGGTTTCCAGCTTAAAACAACAGAAGTCAAGAGAACCAATCAAATATGGAAGAATTTTAGAGATACCTAGAAGAGTGAGAAAAGCATAAACTTTTAGAAGTATTTGCAAGATTACTACTTTAATATCATAAAACCCTATTGGGAAAGGCAGTTTTTTATTATCTTACAGCTTGCCTAACAGAAAACCTTACAGAGAGTAGTTCCTAAATAAATGTTTAGGAAATAAACACTGTATAATTGATGCTTTTAAGACTAATGGACTATCTATTCGATGACAATTTATATTTTGTGTCTTGTCTTCTCTAAGCTGAGAATCAAATGCATTAAACCAGAAACTATCAACTACAGTCTTCCGTGATAGGCATTAATTCACTAAGTTATTTTGTTAAGAGTACAATGATGATAAACAGCTTCTTTGTGCTTATGGGATAGTTAATGACAAAAATAAATACATAACAGTTCCTGAATCAGCTTTAAGATCATTGATCAGGTTTTCATGAAATTTAGAGTTTTTGTCTGGAAAAAGATTGAGTTTGGATCCTAATGTGGTTCCCTAAACAGATTCACTGTGGCATCATGGTAAAATACCCTCTCTTCATTTCATCTGCAAAATAAGAAATGAAAATGCTCCCATCTCAGAGTTTAATAAAGAGAAATAATTAAAAAGCAAAGTGTTTTTTCCTTTCTTTGATTAAATATTTTCATTGCCTTCATCAGAAATGTTTTGAACTTTTAGGAATATTCAAGATGATCTGTTAATTTCACCGTCACTCATCATTTTGACTTCCTCTATTTGCTACCTTATTTTTTTCTGCCTGCTCTATGCAATTATCCCTCAGTATCCAGGAAGAGCTCATTTCAGGGCTCTCCCCCCTTTTTTTGAGACAGTGTCTTACTTTGTCACCCTGGGAGAGTGCTGTGGTGTCATAGCTCATAGCAACCTCAAACTCTTGGGCTCAAGTGATTCTCTTGCCTCAGCCTCCCAAGTAACTTGGACTAGGCGCCTGCCACAATGCCTGGCTATTTTTAGAGATGGGGTCTCCCTCTTGCTCAGGTTGGTCTCTTGAGCTCAGGCTATCCACCCGCCTCAGCCTCCCAAAGTGCTAGGATTACAGGTGTGAGCCATCATGCCAGCCCTGAAGACCCTTTTGAATACCAAAATCCATAGATGCTTAAGTCCCTCATAGAAAATGACCGTGTTTTTGTATAACCTGTGCACATCCTCCTGTATACTTTACATCACCTCTAGATTACTTACACTACCTAATGCAATGTAAAGGTAAATAGTTGTTATATTGTGGGTTTTTTCACTTGTGCTATTCTTGTTTTTTACCCTGAATGTTTTCCATCTGTGGTTGGTTGAATCTAAAATATAAAACCTGAAGCAACTTTGGGCTGACTATCTTCTAATTGGCAGGTATTATCATTTTGTCTATAACTACATTATTACTGCTACAGAAAATTAAGATTGTGTTTTCCCATGTACAGTAGTTTTATATTGAATAAGAGTGCCAATCAATGCTGCCTGGGACATTGCTACCCAGGGTTGCCTGGAACACTTTACTGGGAAGGATTCTTAAGGAACACATGACACATTGAATCAAAGTGCTTAGATGGATTTTCAATATCTCTCATAGTAAACTCCCACAACAAATTCCCATAAGTTTGGTATCTTAAAACAACACAAATTGGGAATAGTGCATTTCTCTAACCATTATTCCACAGCCATGTCTCCCACTGACTCTTTCTTTTAAGGAGTCCAGGTTCTACCAGATAATACAGGATAATCTCCACATCTCAAGATCTCTTTGAGTATTATAGATGTTAACTCTTGGTCAGTTTCTTTATATTTAAGTCCTAATTTCTTATGAATTTCACTGTACATAAGATGGATCCATATATGCAAACATCACTTTTTAAATGATCCATCCATCAAATTCTACCTTGTAATATGGATTCTCGAATTAGTTCATCTGTTTCTATCTGCTTACACCACACTCTTCCCTTTTTTTCTTTTTTTTTTGAGACAGAGTCTCACTTTGTCACCCTCGGTGGACAGCTCACAAGAACCTCAAACTCATATATCTATAGGCTGCACGCCTATCTTCTTTGGTGAAATTTCTTTTCAAGTCCTTTGCCCACCTTGCAATGTATACAGCTATCATTTAATAAAAAAAAAAAACAAACCTCAAACTCTTGGGCTTAATCGATTCTCTTGTTTAAAGTATTCTGTTTTGTTTTTAATCTTTGCTACATTATACTTATTATTTTATTTATAAATTTCGTACCTATAATCATAAATAAGACACTGTCTATGAATTTATTTGTACTATATTTATTGTGTTTGATATCATACATGTAGTTATTTTGGCTTCATAAAGTAAACTGGAGAGTTTTCCACATTTCCTTTCAGTAAGGTGTTGAATTATTTAAGAGTCCTGAAATTATATATTCTCTTAATTTTAAATAAAACTGCTGCTGTGAAACAGGAAAAAAAAGGAAAATCAGCCATGATAGTGTCTCACCTCAGAATGTCAGCCAATTAGCAACATTCGTACTCTAGTGACCACACTGCCTAAAAGCTAGCCAATTAACAACAGTCTCGCTCCATAAACAAGGCTTCCGCAGCCAAAAGTAAACCAATTTCATTTCTTAAAGTTTCTTAAATAATCTTGTTTCTTAAATTTTTTTTGTCTCTAAACTCTAAGTTTCCATATAACCTATTTGTGAACATCCCTTACTTTGTTCAGAGAGGTTATACTTTGCATTACAGCTCTCCCCTCCTTAGTCAGCAAAGATTCAGGTATTACAGTTAGCAGTGGTTTATCTTCCTTAGACAAATAGAACGTGTGCGTATGTAGATAAATCTAAACAGATGTTGACTGTATAAAATAACAGAAAAAGATTGGGGTAGACCAACTAAGAACAAAATAAATTTTGAAATGTTTGGAAAGTACTCGTACATCTTCTAAATAATCTTGAGTCAAAAGAGAAGCCAAAATGAGGGTTTAAAAATATATCTAACCTAAATAATAAAAATTGTTACATATCAAAACCTGCATGATGTAGCCAAAGCTGGCTTCTTGTGATATCATTCTGTTGAGTTTCCTCCAACCTCCGAGTTTCCTCCAACCTCCTGTTTCTCTGTCTCTAGTCACCCTTGAAAATGTTGGGGATCCATTCTTAGCCCTCAGTTATTCCCATGCTATATATTTTCCCATGGTAGCTTCATCAGGATTCAGGGCTAGCACATATGCTGATGTCTCCCTATTTTTTTATCCAGAACTTCTCTCCCACATTACTGACATGCCTGTTAAATAAGTCCACTTAATTTGTAATAGCTATTTCAAGGCCAATATGCCAAACTAAATACATAATCTCTTCCCCAATTTTTCTTTCTCTTGTGTCTCCTAATCTTGGTGAATTGGATGACTAATTTACAATCTACATCAGAAACATAGCCTTCCTTTCTCGCTCACACACACATCCTATACATCAAATTTGTGGAGCCTACATTTTAAAAATCTCTCCGATTTTTCTCTCCATTTCTCTATTCACATGCCTTAGGTTAAGTCCTCTTCATTTCTCAATTTATTCTTATAATAAGTCCCTAAGTGGTTTCAATACAGCATTCTTCTAGTGGATTTTCCACTTGGTTGTCAGAGTGAGTGTTCTAAAATTCAATATAGTTTACTATGTAAATGCTGGGAATCTATCCACAAAGCAAAGCCCAGGTCCAAATGGCTTCACCACTAAATCCTATTAAATCCTACACTAAATCCTAAATTCAAAGAAGAATTAGCACAA